CAGATAGCCCTCGTGTAGCTTTGCGCGAAATTCAAAACAAACAGTCATTCTAAATTTAAAAAATTAAAAAAAACCTTTTCGAAATAAACACTTGTGTGTTATTAATTTCATTTTCAAACATCATAGGTGTATCCATGTTTGAAAATATACATCTGAAACCTGAACATTCCGTTCTTTGTTCTCATTTAGAAGTGAGTACACAGGATCACATACAAAAGGTGTATGGGTTTTTAAAACTCGCGCGCTTTCGAATAGTTCACTATTCTTCATCGGCAGAATAAAGAGTTATGTTTAATAAAGGAGAAATATTCCAAAGCGCGCGAGTTTTTGGGTCTCGTTTGAAAACCATTCCATTCTATAGGTGTTTTTTTCTTGCATATAATAAATACTTCTGAGGTGAACGTAACCAGCAGGTAAAATATCAAAGCGTTCATCACTACGTGATTATAAAATTGAATTCAGAATACACTAAATAACCAGCGTTTAATATTACTGTAAGGCAGTGAAGCCTGACGAGCAATGCCTGCCCTAAATGCTACTCAACAAAAGTTTTAATTTAGACAGGTGTTTTAATCTCGTTTATTCGCGTGGGATTATAGTTTACGTTTTGATTATTTATACGTATATAAAAATACGTTCATTCATATATATTTATGCTAGTATGCATAAGATTATATAAATATCATATGATTTACATATAAATAATTTTACGTTTACGTTAAGCCTAGGATGATTGTATAAGTACACCTTACCAAACTATTCGCGTCATTTTCTAACCAAACAAGAGCTGACTCAACATTAGCAACAGGTTTATATTTCAAAACAGTGTTCAGATCTTAAAGATTAAAAACAAGGCATTAAAAGCACCTTAATCTTATTTGGTGTGTCAAAATATGGTCAATGTTAACTTAATTTCGTATTATCTACTGAGAGATAAGGGTAGTACACGCTGACACTTGGCGACTGTACACGTAACCTTTTGTTGTCGTTATTCTCCACCAATACCAATGTGCCCAGAGGTGGTAACAACTTGCTTGCCACAGGATTGAGGAAATTAATACCGTCCTGTGTGTTATACTGTGTCATACACTATCAGGTCTTTCTATCTGTTGAGTCATCATGGTAGCTTCTCTGTCCTATAGAAACCAGACTAACTGCAGGTAAACAACTAGCTTTAATTATAAATCTCCATTGACTTACATTAACTACAAATCTCCTTGTAATAAATACAGATAAACTACTTACATTAACTACAAATCTCCTTGTAATAAATACAGATAAACTACTTACATTAACTACAAATCTCCTTGTAATAAATACAGATAAACTATTTACATTAACTACAAATCTCCTTGTAATAAATACAGATAAACTATTTACATTAACTATAAATCTCCTTGTAATAAAACTTACATTGGTATGAAACACAGGTAACAATATTTCGTAAGTTGCATATAAACTGATATTAATCACAAATATAATCATCTTTTGAATTGTAAATAACTTAGTATTAAACATGTATTAAGCATCAGCTGATTTTAATACATATAAAATACCTATCTCAAATACAAATTTATTAATATTAAACACACATAATATCTTTTCAAGAATTACAAATAAACATACCATAGCAATACATTTTAAATTATATATATATTGTTATTAAACACACGTAACAACACTTATTGAATTATAAACATATTGATATAAAACATTAACAATTCGTATTGAATCATAAATATATTGTTATTAAACCCTTAATAATATATACTGAATTATAAATATATTGATAATAAATATACAATTACGTCCTTAGTTGCAAATAACAAAATATTTTGAATTACAAATTACAGATATAGAATTTCATGAATTACCCACATGTGGTAGTATCACATAGTATCTCTTATAACAACTATCAGTGTGCTAGTACCACATGGTATCTGTTATAACAACTATCAGTGTGCTACTACCACATGGTATCTTTTATAACAACTATCAGTGTGCTAGTATCACATAGTACCTCTTATAACAACTATCAGTGTGCTAGTATCACATGGTATCTTTTATAACAACAATCAGTGTGCTAGTATCACATGGTATCTGTTATAACAACTATCAGTGTGCTAGTATCACATAGTATCTGTTATAACAACTATCAGTGTGCTAGTACCGCATGGTATCTCTTATAACAACTATCAGTGTGCTAGTACCACATGGTATCTGTTATAACGACTTGCTAGTATCACATGGTATCTATTTTAACAACTACCAGTGTGCTAGTATCACATGGTATCTATTTTAACAACTACCAGTGTGCTAGTATCACATGGTATATATATTTTAACAACTACCAGTGTGCTAGCATCACCTGGTATATATTATAACGACGTGCTAGTACCACATGGTATCTATTTTAACAACTACCAGTGTGCTAGTATCACATGGTATCTATTTTAACAACTACCAGTGTGCTAGTATCACATGGTATATATTCTAAGGACGTGCTAGTATCACATAGTATCTATTATAACGACGTGCTAGTAGCACATAGTACGTACGTTAACAACTACCAGTGTGCTAGCATCACGTGGTATATATATTTTAACAACTACCAGTGTGCTAGCATCACGTGGTATATATTTTAACAACTACCAGTGTGCTAGCATCACGTGGTATATATTTTAACAACTACCAGAGTGGCAGTATCACATGGTATCTATTATAACGACGTGCTAGTAGCACATAGTATGTACGTTAACAACTACCAGTGTGCTAGCATCACGTGGTATATATATTTTAACAACTACCAGTGTGCTAGTATCACATGGTATATATTATAACGACGTGCTAGTACCACATAGTATCTATTATAACGACGTGCTAGTAGCACATAGTACGTACGTTAACAACTACCAGAGTGCTAGCATCACGTGGTATATATTTTAACAACTACCAGTGTGCTAGCATCACGTGGTATATATTTTAACAACTACCAGAGTGGCAGTACTAATACAGTTAATTCGTGTAGTTATTTCGATTATCTCTGTCAAAGAAAGCATATTATAAAACTCGTGGTGCTTTGTATAAAATAAAAGGCATTTATTTTAAAAGTTAGCATAAAAATGTTTTAGGAGATAGAAGGTTTTTATATTTGGAAAATAGATATTTGCGGTGGTGTTTGGTTAAGAATTTCAAATATCGGGTTATAATAATATTAGGCCTTATATTAGGCCTTATTAGGCCTAATTAGACCCGTCTTTTTCCTTGTATTCTCCTGAATAATAATATTAACAGAACAAAACACGTTTCTTCAGGTGAAAAATATGTCGGACAAATGAAATAAAATCGGCCTATATTTTTCAAACCGAGAACGCGCATCTGCTGAAATAGCAACGCATGCGCACTGAGACCATGCCATTTTCGTTGGAAGTAAGTTTGAATAAACCGTATATATATTTTTACGTTTATTATTGCAAATGCATCAAAAATAGAAAATACAATACAAAACTGGAAACGTTACCTCTTGGAACTATCAGGTTCGAGTCCGTCCCCAACATGCTCGCACTTTCAGCCGTGGGGCCGTTATAATGTGACAGTCAATCCTACTACTCTTTGGTAAAGAGTAGCCAAGAGGTGGCCGTGAGTGATGTTGACTAGCTGCTTTCCCTCTGGTCTATCACTTCTAAATTAGGGACGTCTAGCCCACATAGTAACTTTGCGTGAATTTCAACAAAACAACTAGTATATCCGTCTGCCTGTACGTTTGTCTGTCTGTTACCAGGTAGTTATTTATCAGTTTCGAGGGGTAAGTTTCATAATTATTTATAAATATAATTTTGTTTGTTTGTTTCCTTTTGTACTTCCATGTGCAATAAATAAATATATTTATGTATATATCTACAAGTCAGGCCTAAATATATTTATGTATATATATCTCCAAGTCAGGCCTAAATATATTTATGTATATATATATATCTACAAGTCAGGCCTAAATATATTTATGTATATATCTACAAGTCAGGCCTAAATATATTTATGTATATATATATCTACAAGTCAGGCCTAAATATATTTATGTATATATATCTACAAGTCAGGCCTAAATATATTTATGTATATATCTACAAGTCAGGCCTAAATATATTTATGTATATATCTACAAGTCAGGCCTTATAACAAAGCTTATTTTATAACTTAAACTTATTACCACACTTACCAGTGAGAATATCGTAAGTTGAAGGATCTGGAACTTGCCAAGTTCAATGTTGATCAATAGTTCACTCGAGACAAAAAAGGAACAGTTATTATCGCGAGAAGTGTTCTCTACACAAAATGATCTCCATTCTCCTCTGACAATTCTTCGGGTATTTGACGATGGTTAACGCCGAGGAGATTCCGTATAAGCCGCTACCAAACCTTTTATAGTTCGCTAGCTTGCTCTGCTCGGTTCGTGCTCTAACAGTGTTCTAGCGATTTACAGTGTTTCACTGTTTATCCTGCAGTCCACTAGAGGGGCCTCGTGACGCGTCACTTAAGACGTCACGAGACTCTATTGATTAAAACGTCAGAAAATGGTCCTCTGCCATAGTGAAAACAAACAGGCATAAGTAGCCTCAATAGTTCAATAAAATTTAAATAATTTATTATTAGTAAATTAAAATACTTAATTAGCGAGTATCATATTTTACTAATTTATTAGTTGATTAAATATCAAATAAATCCCCAATTACAAAAAAAAAATCAATCCAAATATATTAAATGTGAAATATATAGAAAACGTTTGTTTGTTTTATTTTGTGTTTTTCTAATAGCAAAGCCACATCGGGCTACCTGCTGTATCCACCGAGAGGAATCGAACCCCTGATTTTAGCAGTGTAAATCCGAAGAATTCGTAAAAACGCCGTTATTGTATTCGATATATGAATAGATATGTAAACTAGGTTATTTTTAGGCTTCAAATGGTTTAACTATTTATTTGTTTTTATCCGCCCCCAGTGGCACAGCGGTATGTCTGCGGACTTACAACGCTAGAAACCGGGTTTCGATACCCGTGGTGGGCAGAGCACAGAATGCCCATTGTGTAGCTTTGTGCATAAATTAAAACAAACAAACTGTTTTTATCTTTTGTTATAAACGTAGCCCAGAAGCCAGAGACTGGTATAACAGTAGTCTCCGGTAGGTCAACTGTAACTTTACGGACTTACAGCTCTAAAATCCGGGGATCGATTCCGCGAGGTGGACAGAGCGTAGATAGCCTATTGGGTACCTCTCAGTTGCTTGTTACACTAAAAAATCTGGTTTCCATAGATACGGTGAGCACAGCACAGAGAGCCCATTGTATAGCTTTTTACGTAACAATAAACAATGATATGAATAAGAATACTAAAATTCATAAAATACAATGCCAAGTTTGTTATATAATATATATCTATTGTGTAACATAGTAAATATCGGGATGGCTAATATCAATCCTTCAAAAACAGGAAAGTACGGATGGTATTTACATCATCCCTACATAATAGCACATACACACAGTGTAGTAGAATGTTAACAGACATAAATAGGATAAATTATGCTCAGTTGTGATTGGATAGTTACATATATATTGTTATATTTTGATTCTTGCTTGTGTTATTGTGTTGAGATTATACAAATGCCATCCCTACTATCTTGTTTACATTGTTTATGAAGGATTGATATTAGCCATCCCTTCATTTACTTCCTCTTTTTAAAAAAGAAGTTTTTTCTTTACTTGTTGTTTTTTATTGCAGTGTTTCAATAGACACAGGAAGGTTGTATTTATAACTAAGTTCTAGATACAATGAGGTTCCAACTGTAATATTTATTGTTTATCTATTTTTGGCTGCTAATTCCTGTCTCACCCTGTACTTAGGCTTTTTGAAGGAACATTAAATGTCTGTAAGAAAGCTAGTTTAAAGGGGTAATGATAACATCGTTTACACTAGAATTATCATTTTTTTAATAACTAGTTATCAATAACATTTATAAAAGCGAAAACTCCATTTAAAAATATGTCATCTCAGTGAAA